CGTCATTTACATCAGGTATAACTTCCAATGCAAATCCCTCCCCGTCCCCCTCCCCATGATAGGCCCTGGTGTGTGATGTCCCTTCCTGAGTCCAAGTGATCTCATATTCCAGTTCCCACCTATGAGTGAGAACATGCCGGTGGTTGGTTTTCTGTTCCTGTGATAGTTTTGCTAGAATGGATGGTTTCCAGCTGCCATTCATGTCCTAACAAAGGACACACAACTCATCCCTGTTTTTATGGCTGGCATGAGTTTCCATGCGTGTATATGTGCCGACTTTTCTTAATCCAATCTGTCACTGATGGAATTTGGGTTGATTCCAAGTCTTTGGCTATTGTGAACTGTGGCTGCAATAAAACGATACGTGTGCATGTGTCTTTTGTAGCAGGCGAGTAATCTATAATCCTTTGGGGGTATACACAGTAATGGGATGGCTGGTCATCATGGTACATCTAGTTCTAGATCCTTGAGGAATCGCCATACTGGTTTTCATCATGTGGTTGAATGTTACACAATCCGCACCAACGTGTAAAAGTGTTCCTATTTTCTCCATCCTCTCCTAGCGACTGTTGTTTCCTGCTTTTTAATGATCGCCATCGTAACGTGGTGTGAGGGATGGTATCACTTGGTGGTTTGAGTTGGCATGTTCTGCTGATGGCGCCAGTGACTGCATTGAGCATTCTCTTTCATGGTGTCTGGTGGCTGTGATGAAGTGGTCGATTTCATTTGGTAAATTCCTGCTTCATATGTGGGTTGCCGACTTTTTGACTGGGGGTTGTTTGGTTTTTTCCTTGTAGAATTTGTTTGAGGTTCTTTTGCTAGGTTCTGGAATATGTAGCCCTTTGTCCGAATGAGCTAGATTGTGCAAAAAATTTTGCTCCATTCGCTTTTCTTATAGGTACTGTTGCCATTGATGGTAGTTTCTTTTGCTGTGCAGAAGGCTCTGTGTTTAATGAGTCAATTTGTCAGTTTTGGCTTTTGGCTTGCCGTTGCTTTGGTGTGTTTGTAGGCATGAAGTCTTTGCCCATGGCGTTTGTCCTGAATGGTGAATGACTACGGTTTTCCTCTAGCGATTTGCCTATGGTATTAGGTCGAACATTTAAGGTCTTATCGCCTCTTGCATTACATTTTCCGTGGTAAGGAGTAAGGAAAGGATCCAAGTTTCAGCTTATCTATTTGTAATGGCAGCCATTTTCCCCAGCCGACCATTTATTAATAGGGAATCCTTTCCCCCTTTCTGTGTTTCTCTCAGGTTTGTCAAGATCAGATGGGCGTTGTCGATGAGTTGATGGGTGCAGCACACCAACATGGCACAAGTATACATATGTAACAAACCTGCACGTTATGCACATGTACCCTACAACTTAAAGTTTAATAATAATAAATAAATTTAAAAAAAAAAAAAGAACTGCCAAACTGTTTTCGAAAGTGGCTGCCTCATTTCAATTTGCTACCTACAGTATATAAGAGTGACAGTTTCTTCATATTCTTACCCAAACTGGTTTTTCATTGATTATTGTCATCCTAGTGGGTTTGAAGTTGTATCTATGATGGTTTTGACTTGCATCTTCCTAATGACTAATGATATTGAACATCTTTTTATATGTATATTTACCATTTTGTCTATGGTCTTTGGAGAACTATTTGTTTTGTTTGTTTGTTTTGCAAGATGGCAAATTAGAGGCTTTTAGCATGCCTCAACCACTTGGAAATAGCAAGATAGTGCATAAATATCAACTTTGAGTTTTAATTCAAGGAGGAAAATGGGAATTCACCTGTATTGGTCCATTCTCATGCTTCTATAAAGACATACCCGAGACTAGGTAATTTATAAAGGAAAGAAAATGTAATACATATACACCATGGAATACCACACAGTCATAAAAAAGAACAAAATACTTTACTTTGTAGCAACATAGACATCATGGAGGCCATTATCCTAAGCAAATTAATAAAGGAACAGAAAACAAAATACTGCATGTTCTCACTTATAAGTGGGAGTTAAACAGTAGGTATTACATGGACATAAAGACAGCAACTATAGACACTGGGGATTACTAGAGAGGAGAAAGGGAAGGGACAGAGGTTGAAAAACTAACCATTGAGTTCTATGTTCAGTACCCTGGATGATGGGATCAATTGTAACCCAATGGGATCAACTGTAACCCAAACAGTATACCCTTGTAAAAAGCCTGCATATTGGCCAGGCGTGGTGGCCCTGTAATCCCAGCACTTCGGGAGGCTGAGCCAGGTGGATCACCTGAGGTTGGAGTTGGAGACCAGCCTGACCAACATGGAGAAACTCCGTTTCTACTAAAAATACAAAGTTGGCTGGGTGTGGTGGTATATGCCTGTAATCCCAGCTACTCGAGAGGCTGAGGCAGGAGAATTGCTTGATCCTGGGAGGCAGAGGTTGCAGTGAGCCAAGATGACGCCGATCGTGCCATTGCACTCCAGTCTGGGCAACAAGAGCGAAAGTCTATCTCAAAAACAAACAAACAAACAAAAAAGCCTGCATATTTAGCTTCTAAATTTAACATAAAAGTTGAAATTATTTTTTAAAAAATAGCAAGAATAAGAAAAGGAATATATATTCAAATCATTTACCCACGTTTAAATTGTGTTATTTTCCTTTATTTTTGAATGGTAAGACTTCTTTATATATTCTAGATACCAGGCCTTTGTCAGATACATGATTGATTTGCAAATACTTTCTTCTCTTATATGGAAGTTTTTCACTTTACTGATATTATACTTTGAAAGACAAAAAGTTTTTATTATTTTCAAAAAGTCTAATATATTTAACTTTTTGGTTACTTGAGCTTTAAGTGTCATGTCTCAGAAACCATTGTCTAATCCAGATCATAAAGATTTACACCTTTTGTCCGAGAGTTTTATAGCTTTAGCTCTTACATTTAAGTCTTTATAACATGTGAGTTGATTTTTCGTATGGTGTGAGATGAAGGTTCAGCTTTATTCTTTTGTATGTGAATATCTAGTTTCCCCAGCACTATATTTTTTTTAAAGATTGTTCTTTTGCCATTGAATTGTTTTGACATCCTTGTCAAAGATCAATTGACTGTAAGTGTGAGGGATTATCTGTGGAGTCTCAATTCTATTCTATTGATCTATATGTTTATCTCAGTACCATGCTGTTGTGATTACCATAGCTTCATAGCAAGTTTTGAAATCAGAAAATGTGAGTCCTTGCTGTGGTTTGGATATGCTTTATTTTTCCTCATCAAAGCTCATGCTGAACTTTGACCTCCAATGTACTCATGTCAGGAGGTGGAGCCTAGTGGGAGGTGTTTGGGTCATGGGAGCAGATCTTTCATGAATAATTTGATTGTGTTCTCTTAGTAGTGAGTGAGTTTTCGCTCCAGTGAGACTCTGTTAGTTCTCATGGAAATGAATTAGCTCTCAGGAGCATGGGTTGTTACAATAGCAGGACACTCCTTTAGTTTTATCTCTTTGCATGTGTTCACTTCCCCTTTGACTTTCTTTGAGATGTTTTGATCTACCATGTGGCCCCCACCAGAAGCTGAGCAGATACTGGCAGCATGCTTCTTGTACATTT